CAATACAATGATATTTAACACTTATTTTGGAGATTGAATGACATGAGCAAATTTAGTTTATATCACTAAATCTGTATGGTAGCAATAAGAAATGATATCTCTTGAGTCTTTCTTATTCGTCTGAGGTGTCCAGAAGTTTTGTAGCCAAATAGATTGGAAAGTAGATTGGAAAGTAGATTGAGAAATAGCCTAGTCTGAGCATTGCATTGTAAATTGACATTAGTAGTATGATTGCTTTTTTGGGGAGTTTTTTTAGGATTTTACCTGTTATTAAGTCAACACTAGGTGTTTTCTTAGCACTTAAGCGTTTGTGAATTTCGAATTGGGCTTTACCTGAGGATATGTATTTAATTAGATGTGATGGGATTAATGGAGCTTCTGCCCTTTTCTTTAATTTAGTGTTATCTTGAGCGCTTGCTTGATTTGCTAATGGCTGGAAAACTTTGGTCAGTTGTATGGCAAACATTTTTACTTTTTCTATTTCTGTTCTTGCCCACTTTCCATTTTCCATTTTTATTGATAGAATGGGTGTTACCGACTGTTTTAGATTTCTTGTAGACTTCCATAATGAGTAGTCTGTGTCTTCGTTAGAGGTAAGATTTTCTAAAAATTCTTTAAAGGTGTCATTTTGTATTTTTTGTAGTAAGTTTTTCAGTTTTCTGTATGCTTGGTTAAGCCTTGTTTTATCATCTAGATGTTTTGTTTGCTACAATGTTCTTCATAGGGTTCTTTTGTGTGTTATCATTCTTTTTTATTTTGTTGGAATAGTATACAAGTGCTTTACTGTTTCTTGGTGGGAGAGTAGATTTCCAAGATGCTATTTGTATTGAGCAAATAAAATGATCGACTGCATTATCTATTGTATATCCTTTTCTGTTTTCAATGCTTTGTTTATTCTAATCGTATTTTCAAGGGTTTCTCTAAAATTATTCCAGTTTGTTGCTGTATTGTGCAATGTGGGTGGCTTTTCATTATATTTGATGTTCTAATTTGAAAGGATTTCTGCAACTGCCGTGTAATGTGATTTGAGATCTAAGCATGTCTGGATGGAAAAACTTTCCCGATTTATTCCTTTCGTAACGAAGAAATCTAATATGTCCGGTCTGCGATTATCATGAGCAGGCCAGTATGTGGGCTCTCCAGTAGCAAAGTCTCATAGGTTCATCCTGAGTATGATATCCATTAATCTTGTTCCTTGAGGATTGGTTATTCTTGCTCCCCAAAATGTATGTTTTGCGTTGAAATCACTGCCTGCAATAAATCTGTTACCAAGCATTTGAAAAAATTTATATATCTTTCTGTTGACATTTGTTGACATGGTGGTTTATACACAGCACTTATTGTCAGTGGTCCATTCCGATCCTCTACAACTAGACTTGTTGCTTGTAGATACTCTTCTTTGAATGGTTGTAGGGTGTACTGCTTGATGGTACTTTTAATAATTATTGCAGAACCTACATGGGTATTTCCGCTTGGATGGTTTGTGGCATATACCGTGTGACCCAGTATTTTACAGTAGCTGCGATCTGTAAAGAGTGTTTCAGAGACTAACAGTATGTCTATTTTAACAAGGTTTAGGTATGTCTGGACCTCAAGAGCATGATGAGAAAGCCTGTTAGCATTCCACAGTGTTATTTTAAAGGAGTCCATTTTACAGTCCAGTTTTCGTAAGATGTGGTTAAGCGTTGTTAATAATAGATTTACTTGTTTTGTTTGTTCAGTTATGGGATTCTTCATTTTTGTCATTATTTTTATCATTATGGTGATTTCTTCATTCTTACATTGCATGTAATTGTCCTTGAATTAATCATTGGTGGCCTCTTCTTCTGCTATACCCCTTAATTTTTGTTTGATTTCCCTTAAGTATTGTTGGGTTTTAGCACACGTTTCATAAGGTTAATGAGTGTTATATGATTTATATTTTCTTTTCCAAGCAGTAGTATATGCCACGTAGCGTCTGTAGGATGCTTCTCTTCACAATTAGTGCATCTAACTGCTATTCCTTCCACATTCAGTTCAGAGATGATATTCCAGTAACAAATGATTAATATGTGATTTCCTTCCTTTCTAGTATTCAACATTTTAATACATAATTCAATTTTTTATGGAAAGAGTTCTTAGAAATTTAAAGAATTCTTATCTGCAAAATGTTAAGTTTCGTCTTTAAAATAAGAAAAAAAAAACTTTCGTATGACACTTCTTCACATTTTCATTAGTTAAGGATCTAATGAAGTGTACACAAATAATCTGGATATATGTTATACATATATATATTAAAATACAATATTTAAACAACATGAATACATTCTC